TTTTTTTTTTGGTATTTTTAGGAGAGATGGGGTTTCATGACATAGGCCAAGCTGATCTCGAATTCCTGACCTCAAGTGATTAGCCTGCTTCGGCCTCCCAAAGTGCTGGGATACAGGTGTGAGGCACGGCGCCCAGCCTTTTCTTTTCTTCTTGAGGCAGAGTCTTGCTCTACCACCCAGGTTGGAGTGCAGTGGTGCAAATCACGGATCACCATGGCCTCGATCTCCCTGGGTCAAGTGATCCTCCCAAGTAACTGGGATTACAGATGTACACACCACATCCAGGTAACTTTTGTATTTTTTGTAGAGATGGGTTTCACCATGTTGCCCACACTGGTCTTGAACTCCTAGGCTTAAGTGATTCACCTGCTTCAGCCTTCTAAACTGCTGGGATTACAAGTGTGAGCCACCATGTTCAGCCAGGCAGCGCTTCTGACTCACCCACTGCCTGGTCCCCACCTCAGGACTGCCTGGGTGGCTCAGCCCACAGCATCTACATTGTCAACATTTCCCCAAGAGACGCTTCTACCTAGATACAGTCTCTGTGCTCAACTTTGCTGCCGGGTCCAAGAGGTGATCAACCAGCCTTTCCCCAATGAGAGCCTGCAGCATCACAGTGAGGGCTGGGAGGCAGGAGTGGGAAGGCTGGATCTGGAAATTAGGAATTTTTTTTTGAGACAGAGTTTTGACCTTGTTGCTCAGGCTGGAGAGCAATGGTGCGATCTTGGCTTACCACAACATCTGCCTCCTGGCTTTAAGTGATTCTCTTGCCTCACCCTCTTAAGTAGCTGGGATTACAGGCATGCACCACCACGTCCAGCTAATTTTGTATTATTAGTAGACATGGGGTTTCACCATATTGGTCAGGGTGGTCTTGAACTCCCAATTTCAGGTGATCTGCCCGCTTCAGTCTTCCAAAGTCCTGGGATTACAGGCGTGAGCCATCACGCCCGGTAAAATTAGGAATTTTATTGAAGCCACTAAGCTTAAGTATAGAAGCTGACCACCACACTTCACTTTCTCTGTACCATTCCCTCCAATCTTCCAGTCTTGGCACCTGTTCAGCTGTCTCAGAAAGAATGGCTAGGCCCATCAGAGGCAAAGAGAACCTGAGGCCTTGAGGAAGAGAAGATCAGGAGCTCTGAGCCCACAGCAGCCAGCCTTTCCCTCCCAGAAACTCAGGTGAGGATGGGGGCAGTGGCTCATGCCTGTAATCCCAGCACTTTGGGAGGCCAAGGCAGGCGAATCACCAGGTAAAAGATCGAGACCAGATGGGCCAACGTAGTGAAACCCAGACTCTACTAAAAATACAAAAATTAGCCAGGCATGGTTGTGGGTACCTCTAATACCAGCTACTCAGGAGGCTGAGGCAGGAGAATCACTTGAACATTGGAGGCGGAGGTTGCAGTGAGCTGAGATCGCACCACTGCACTCTATCCTGGGTAACAGAGTGAGACCCTGTCTGAAAAAGGAAGGAAGGGAGGGAAGGAAAGGGAGGAAGAAAGGAAGAAAGGAAGGAAGGAAGGAAGGAAGGAAGTCAGGTGATCAGTGGGGTTTGGGTGTTTCTATTTCTGCTGTGTCTGCCTTAGTTGTGGAGCAGCAATGGGTTTAGCCAGTTGGATCTTTGAGCAGAAACAGCTATGAACTTGTTCCTCTACCACTGAATTCTCAAATCCCACACTGTTGATTCGCTGACATGTTAAAGTTTTACCTGTGTTCTGTTTCTACTCCAGCCCAAATAAAACCTCTAAACTGTTCAAGTCCTAGCTGGGCACAGCAGCTCACACCTATAATCCCAGCACTTTGAAAGGCCAAGATGGGCAGATCACCCAAGGTCCGGAGTTTGAGACCAGCCTGGCCAACATGATGAAACCTTGTCTCTACCAAAAATACAAAAATTAGCCAGGTGTGGTGGCACATGTAGTCCCGGCTATTCAGGAGGCTAAGGCAGGAGAACTGATTGACCTGGGAGGTGGAGGTTGCAGTGAGCCAAGATCACACTACTGTACTCCAGCTTGGGCGACAGAGCAAGACTCCATCTCATAAATAAAATAAATAAATAAATAAATAAACGGTATAAGTCCTAAGACTACTGAGCAGAAATGACCAAAAGTTAGAGCACACCCTGCCCTGGGGGGCTCCCTGGGGGAGATCTGGGCTCACTTCAATCCTCTAGAGGAAGCAGGACCCTGCTGACACCTTGATTTCAGTCTTCTGGCTTCCAGGACTGTGAGGAAATCAATTGCTACTGTTTGAAGCCACTGAGTTTGTAATCTGTTACTTGCAACCTCAGGAAACTGACAGGCTGGGTGACCCTGGGCAAAACCCCTTCCCTCTCCTTGTCTCTGTGTCTTTACCTCTGTGCCCACCATGCAGCTTTTGGGTCCCCTGCTCACTGGCCCCTGACACCATCTGGGCAGGGACCCCTGAGGACATGTAGAGAGTGTGGTGGGCCGAGGGCCTCCTGGAACTGCTCTGGGCAGGCCCCAGCAGGCTTGTGTCTGGAGCTGCCTCCCTTGACAGATGCAAGAGGCATGGGCTCCAGTGCAGACCCCAGTGACCTTGGACAAGACACTGTTGCCCCTTGCACCTCAGTTTCTTCTATGAGGTGACGGCCCTCTCACCTGCTAGGTTTGCTGGGAGGGTTCACAGGATTCTATAATCATGGCAGGGTCTCAGTCCATTGTGGATGTCAGGATTTCACTGTCATTCTTATTTTTAATTAATTAATTAATTATTTATTTATTTATTTTTTAGACAGAGCTCTCTATTGCCCAGGCTGGAGTGCAGTGGTGAGAGAAGGAAAGAAAGAAGGAAGGAAAGAAGGAAGGAAATGGAGAAAGAAAGAGAGAAAGAAAGAAAAGAAAGAAAAGAAAG